ACCGCAACGCTCACCCCTTCCAGGTGCAGAGGTCGACGATGAGAAACCCGTTATCCTCATAGGTGTTAATGTGGTGGAACAGGTTGAAGGCCGAGGTGCGGAATTTGATGTTGAGGAGCCTGCCTTTCTTTTTCTCTGCCACGTGAAGCCAGACCTGAAGAGCAAGCAGCTGCTTGGCGTAGGCTCAGAGAAACGAAGGTGAAACCGATACGATGGGCCTCCCAGTACAGCCCGGTTTGGTACGCCCGGCCGCTTACCCCCATGGTTTCGTTGGACTCGAAGCAGTCCATGTAGTTGGCTCCCCAAAGGCTCCAGGAGGAGAGGAACTTGAGGAGGTTGATTTTCACTGGCGTTTCGACAAACACGATGTAGTTCGAGGTCAGCCCAAAGCTGTTTGGAAACGCACGGGGAGCACGTCAAGCTCACCGCAGCTACTTTGGACTAAAACCCGCGTAGTAGCTCGTCTTATTGCTGACTATAGCACGCAGATCGTTGCTTAAAATGTCAGGAATGTAACCATCCTGATTTTGGTAAACCGCCTAATTTTCGGTGCTCATTACAGGCGAGAACAAGCCCTGCGTGCCGCTTCTGCAGAGCGCGTCGTGCCGGCAACACGTACCTGAAAAAAAAGCGTGAGGGGCCTGTGAGCCCCCGCTCGCTGCTCAGAGCGGCGGCTTTGCGGCGGGAACACGCTGCCTGGCGCCACGCGTCAGCGGCATCCCTCTCGTCAGCCCGCCCGCGTTGCGGGTCTACGGGACGTGTTACCTGTGCACGTAAGAGGGCTTAAACCTGTCGCTGCAAGGGAACTGCACCACCACCTCCGACTTGTTCATCGGGTCTTCCTTGTCTGGAACGGGACAGTTGAAGGGTTATGGAGGAGGTTTCATCCATACTTACTCAGTCCGTATTTGTAGCGTTTACCCTGCAAGCTTCTGCCTTTAATACAAAGGAAGTTCAGGATTTAGAAGCCGCTTTGAAGTGTTTTAAAGATAACGTTTCTGTTACTTAAAAAAAGCAAATAAAATCTAAAGAAGATTTTAAAAAAGAAACTTGATGACAAAACTCATTTGAAGGATAAAAAAAATGATTTATAGGACAAGATGTTCTCAGTTTGCCCAGAGGTGGGATTAACTGACCTGCCTGAAGTGGAGGAATCCGAATGATGTTATAGGCGAGCGCAAAGTTTTTTCCAAAGCAATTGCCAATGTTGTAAACCGTCCCGTCGTTTTCAACGTGGGGATGGGCCGTTGCCCCGTTGACGGACACGTATTTACAGAGATCCACCTGAAGGACAAGGTGGAGAAGGTGAGGAGCTTTCTTGGCAGGAGATGGGAAGTCGCCAACTCTGAAAGGCGTCACAGGTCAATATGTCCTCACTCCAGACGTGGAAAGTTCTTCTCTAAGCCCAAATCACCTTCTGTTTCGTGAAAAGGAGAGCAACAAAGCCGAGCAGTTTGAGAAGCTCAGGTGAGCTGACGCAGTTACAGGGAGAGGTTCGGGATCCTGGGGTCCAAAAGGAAGGGCTCCAAGGCTGGACACGGGTAACGCAGCAAAGAAAGAGGTCGAAACACGCGTTCTGCGTTACGCACGGTTCTGCGGGGTAAAGGCGGCTCGGCTCCGATGCAAACAAAGGCAGCGGTGAAGCTCTGGCAGGAGCCCTCTGGTGATGGTCCCTTTGGCCAGGCTGCAACGTAGCTCCAGCTTGCAAAGCCCAGCCCCGAGCACGAGGATACGGATCGGGGAGCCCCATCACCTCCTCATTAACTATTCCCCAGAGCAGCAGCAGCGGGTTCATTTACACGCTCGTTCTGACTCTGCTCTCGTTAACCCTCACGGCCGGCTGCTTCTGCATCACCTCTCCGACCAAACCCCAACTCCTGCCCAGGTGAAGAGGCTGTTCTTAGCCCTTTTCATTTTAGCTTTACTCCTCCACGTATGTAGAAGCTCAGTACAAAGACCCACCTGCTTGATGGTCTCTAATGTATCGGGGTTAATTTTGGTTATAAAGTTGGTCTCAGTGCAGGCATAATAATCTTCGCCGACGGGGTAGACGTTAACGAGGGCGTTATCAGTGACCTCAACACCTTTGAAGTACGAGAAAAACCTGAGCAGAGAAGACGGACAGGTAGTCAGGGACTTCTCAGAAGCAGAAGCTCTGTAGGACATTGCTGCAACGTCTACAACCCCGAGGTACCTGGAAAAGATGTTCTTGCACGGATCTGGGTACGCATAGGTGCCAAATTCCGTTATCACGATCCTTTTCTCGGTCATCGCTCTCACGTAAGCATCAGTCCTGACAAACCTGGGGAGGGCAAGGCGGCACACTGCATGTGTAGCCGGAAAAAAGCCACGGGCTACGTGATTATCCTAGGAATCTTCTTGTGATGAGCCTCGTGAGCTCTCTGAAAGCCACAGGTCCCCACAGCATCTGGAGCACGTGGGGTCCAGCAACCGCCCCCCACCGTGGCACCGGGAAGGGACGGCCAGGGGAGAGCTGAGGGGAAACGCAGTGGTTTATGTAAATCTTCGGCACCAAACACCTGAAAGCTGATGGCTCAGCAGCTTCTAACGGAAAACACATTTCGGTTTTCAGACAATGATGTAATTCCGTCACTGACTGCAGCTACATCCAGCCCGCCCTCCCCTCTGTCCAGATGTTTTATAATCTGGACAAAAAGTTGCATTTCTGCTAACTATGAGTAAGTTTCAGTTATTTTCAGCTGGTTTTAGTGATCTCAGTGTTAGAGCTCTTCCAACAACCACACGGACCTGAAATAACCGGTGCCTCCCACGTGCTGGGCAGCAGAACCTGTCCCCAGCACTCACGGTCAACCAAATGCTTCAGTATTTATTTATTTTTTTTTTTTGCTCGAAAATTGCCACGTACCTTCGGTGATAGGTAACGTGCCCCTCCTTGAAGTCAAACTTGTGGAGGAGCGCCTGGCCGTCAAAGAGGTGATAGAAGGGCTCTGCACCCACCTCGAACAAGCCGGGGCCACATCTCAGGAGGCTTCCTCGCAGCCAGGTGGGAATCCTGCCTGCGGAAGATCCAGCGTTGGTACGTGCACAGCCCATGGCAGATCAGCCCAAGGAATTTTTATTGTGTCAACAAAAAGAACAAAACTTCCAACTATTTTTTTTTTTTAATGTTTATTAAACTTGACCTTTAAACATGCGTGAGGTCTTTCAAACTATGCTGTTTTCTTCACCTACGCACCTACTGCAGACCCAGACGTTCAGTATTGACATCTCTAAAGATCCCCCATCCAACCTGTCCATCCTCTACCCCAAAATACAGCAGCCCTGCTGGGTCCGTTACCTCCGGCCCGGCGCTCCAGCCCGTGCAAAGCCCCTGAGCTCCGATGGCCCTCGAGCTCCTGAGAACAAAAGCTGGACAGGAGGAGATCGAGGAGGCCACACCAACCTGTGACATGGGCGGTCACCGGAGAGGACAGCTCCTCCACGGTCTCAAAGAGCTTCTTGTAGCCTCCAGCGGGATGCTCGACTCTGAAAGGGCCAGGAGACCGGGGGTTAGCCTGGTTTTGGGAGAGCTTTGGAACCTCGCCGAGGGAGGGAGGGTTGTTTCTGGATGGACTGATCCGCGACTTGCAAATAACTTGAGAGATCAGGAGGGAGAAGCACCAGCCTTTGTGGGGAAAAGGCTCCGAGGGCTCTGACCAGCTCCCGCAGCCGCCTGCCAACCGTCCTGAGCACAAGCAGGATTAGGGAATGCCGGCGGGACAGCCCGTGCCACAGCCCTGCAAACACCCTCGCCCAACGGACAAATTCAGGTTATCCCGATTCATCAGGAAGCAAAACCCACTTGTACATCCCAGGTGCTGGATAAGCATTTTTTTTTTCCTTTTTCCTTGGAGCAAAGAGTACTTGAGTGCGTAGCAGAGAACTATCGGCTGGGTTTCCCTTTTCTGTTGCAGAGCCCGTGAAGACACCGGGCACAGGCTGCTGGTGCACCGTCCTTCCTCTCCAAGTACAGACCATCCTCCCGTGCCTGGACCTGAGCCCCGTCCCCTGGGCCAGAATCACGCTGCTGCAGGGGATGGACCAGCCCAGATAACACCCCTCCT